CTCTCTCTCTCTCTCTCTCTCTCTCTCTCTCTCTCTCTCTCTCTCTCTCTCTCTCTCTCTCTCGTTCTCTCCTTCGACTAGCGGCGATGAATAACTGATGCCATATCCAATCAGTAAATGGAATCCACGGCGGTGGCCGGAGAGGCTCCGTTCCGCTAACAAGAATTTAAGAAGCGAATTTCAGGGCAAATCTCGCGCCGAACGTTCCACTGACTATACACAGATAATCGCGAGATCGTGTACGAGATATCAGAAGGCGAGCTTGATGCACCGCGACGGTGATTGATCTTCCGTTTCGATTGAGGATTCGTAGCGGTTAATCTAACCATTTTACCGAGCGCGACGTTGCATTCGTCTTTAATCGAAACAATCGTGAAAGTGACGTTGCCTGCCGCGCACCGTCCAAGCTTAATTAAGATTTCGTTTATTATTTTGATTGAAAATATTTTTACCCGTCAATGTGAGAGGATATAATTACGAAACTTGTGTATGTTAGTTGACTGCACAGTTGGCTCGTTAGTCGACGAATTAGGTCTTTAATATTTAACGTAAACTCCAGCGCGTTCATTTAATATGAATAACAGGTCCATATACAGGTTTATTAACGTAGGGACAAATATCTCTCTATAGTTGAGATTAATGTATAAAATGCAGGTAATATCAAATAGAGATTAATGTGTAAAATGCAGGTAATATCAAATAGAGATTTTGCGGTATTTTTTAATAATTTAAGTCGACATTCGTGCAGTAGAATTTCTATCAATGCCAAATTTTTTTCTCAAAATTGAGAATTAGTTCACCAGATGTATTTTGTAGTGTTTATTGTTATGATAAAATCATTATAATTTGCGAATCATTATAATTTCAAATGAAATAACGCCTCATTGAATTCTAATTTTCAAAGTTCTACTATAAATTTATATCGATTATTAAAAAGCATCAATAAATAATATCTTAATCGTGAAGCACTAAAACTACACGCATCAGAATTTTCTAGCAGTTTATCAGTCATTTGCAATGAGAAAAGCTCTTGGTCCAAGGTTGGGAAATCTCGCGTGTTGTATAATAGCCGTACGGTTCAGCACGATCTCGAAAGCAGCAGGGTCGTAGGATCGAGCACCTGCTCTCCCGGTGCTATTTCCGTACGTGCGTCGATTGAGCGGGCTGGCAAGACGAATCGACGCCAAGAATTCTACGAATGATCGAGCGCGAACCACATCCTTGCGAGGAAGCTTTGAACTCACGTGTTTATGGCTCTACGACCGGCCCCGTTTCTACGGTACCAATCCTACGTAAAATTCCAGCATGAATGGCCGTTGGAGTGAGCTGGAATTTTCTCGAAAGGGAGATGTCGGCAGAATCTAATGGGTGTTGCTCAAATAAGAATTGCTGTGCTAATTTTTAATCAGTTGATTTATTTTAAGCAAGATATTTTTTCCCTTGTTCTGAAAATTCATTTATAAAAACAATGAGCATTAATATTATTCTATAGCAATATCGAGAATCATTATTTGAAATTTCCTATAGAATATTGTTGCCGAGAATTAATGTTATTGTTACTCAGCAAAAATATTTGGAATGTACAAGCTTTCAGAAACTGAGAATATTTTTATTTTTCCGTAAATTCTTCTGTATATTCACAATTGCATGGATTACCTTATTGCGCCGATTGATAGATTTATCACTCCAGAATATCCTTTCGTCACTACAGGTTTAATTGTTAGAAGCCTAAAATTCCGATATAACCGACCAGTTTTGAGATGCTCCTTTTTTTGTACAACGCGTTTAATTTTAGTTTTCATATCGTGTTGAATTATTTTATTAAGTTGTATTTTCAAGCGAAAATTTGTGTATTTGAGCCTCCAAAAGCGTCGGTTTCCATTAATACGTTCATATAATTGTCATTTATTTAGCGTTAACAGGTAGCACAATATTATTCTTAAATCGTTTGATTTAGAATAGGAGTACTGTAAAATGGCGAGATAAAATATAATGAAAGAAAAATAGGAGAAGTGGATATTTTTAAATTATACAAATTTATTTGCGATTTGAAACGTGTTTTATTTAAGCAGATTAAATTCTGAAAAAGAATTGGGGCACCGTGCGATGCGCGACATTTATCTCCTCTGATCTCTGAGCATGTTTTAATATTCCACAGCCCAATATTTCAAATGTGAATGACTGCGGTATTACGTCGTATAAATGATTCCATAGCGCATATTCCCTGGAAAAAAAGAATATCCTTCATTTGTGAATCGTATAGGCGTTTTATTATAATAAAACGCGTTCGCTCTTTCTGTCTCTAGGCTTAGGATTGATTCATCGCAGAGGACGAAGGTTAAGGAAGCGTCGGGCGAAACCCGGGAGAGAACAGGGACGCGTACTGTATCCGGGCCGGTATCGCTATCGACGCCTGTTATCGACACGAGAAAGCGGTTGTTGACAGAGTTTACCGAGTAACCGACAGCATGTGCCAGGCCCCGCAGGATGCCCCTCACGTGGCCCGTTGTGCCCTCGAACGTGACTCACGCCAGTCCGATTCGTGAAGGAACGGAAATCTTGTATTTGTTCGCTGAAAGACGCTTGTCCTTTGTTGCCGTGCTGCTTATCTCTGCCCGCGATTATTCCGAACAATTCGTGGTTCTCTGACGTTTCTTCTGACGTAATGCGCGATTGTAGATTGAAGACGTGCGTATGTGTCTTAACAATCGAGTTAAATATATTTTTCAAGTATATAGATATATAAGAATGATTTTCTATCTCTCTCTTATACTATATACATACGTATTACTTCTACTATAGATAGTAGGATTATAGGAGAGATCCTTACTTCTCTTGAGAGCGCAAACACTTCACGCGAACATTTAGCATCCGATTATAACATTAGCATGTGATTTCAATTTATACGTTTTTCAGCTGAAAGATAATGAAATTATTATTCTATTGCGCGTAGATCGTAAAATTATAAATGACATAGAAACACATTTTGAAGTAACTAGAGAGATACATATCCCTTTCGAATGCAGAACGATGTGCTTTTGTTTCTATGACTTTGTCGAATATATCTAAATGAAAGAATAACCATTCGGCTTGGATTTTTTTCAGGATATCTCGAGGAACACGCCCGGGGCGGAATTTCATCTTTTTGATGACCATTTTTTCCTGCGTTTGAAGCAATGCGTGCCCAAAGCCCCTTATCATTCCCCTGTCCGGTGTAGAGTTTGTTAGACGACTGGACGGAGAACTGATAAGGGCCCGAGGGTCACAGAATCATCGTGGGACTAGATGCATTGAATGCTCTTCGTCCGTTAAATGTCGAGAGCACATGGCAGGAGCAGTGCAGGCTGTTTATTCTTCAATTTATGTTTATTATGATAATATACTCAATAAGCCATTATCAATCGTTAATCTATATTCATATTATTTTATCAACGATTTAACAAATAAACAAGAAGTATTTTTGTAAGCAGAATAAAATTTATTTAATTAATGCAAGACTGAAGAAAAGCATTAATTAGGTCTATCACATAAATATGTATATAAAAATTTATATTTATAAAACAATTAATCTTTCACATTTTTATAGGTAACCTCTCCTTGGTGACGAATTTTGTAAGATATATAATTTATATATTGTGACGAGGATAAAATAAATCGTGGTATTTTCAATAAAAATCTGTTTTATTGTAAACGCAATAAATAATATTAAAAAAATGGTACTACCTGTATTACTCCACATTCCTTTATACTAGGAATATGCGTCTGCGATGGTTTAACATTAAACAGTTATTCGTGAAATAATGGCTAAAATAGAAAATATCGGAATTATTTATCATGGAAGATGAAAAAACGGGAGACGCGTTAAGGTAGATTTCGTTTGTGATCATCTTCATGAACGTCATACAACTTGCTCTATCCCACGATAACATATCGCGTAGCTCATAGAATCGATTCATTCGTCTATTCGCTGATCATCTTAAACCGCAAGAACTTCGGCATTTGCATTACAAATTCCCGAACGTTACGAGGGGGCGATTAATTACGTTCCCGTACTCTTGGATGCCGCGTGCTCGACTTCGTAATTCGGATTTATCTGAATAATCTGCCTAGGTGTAGCCTCACACAATTTCCTCGATTGATTTTGCACGATCAGAATCTGTTTTGTTCCCTCCGACTTCTCCGTCATAAACTGATTAACACCCACGATCTTCAGCGCCGGTAGAGTTTTTATGATCGTCGCATTCGGAATCGCGAGATTCGCGGTGCCGCAATCCATCTTCGGGAGTATCACCGGATTCTTCGTGATCAGGGTCGATTTCTTCGTCGGCACGCTCGGGATCTCCGTCGTGTAGGAGACCGATCGTTTTACGGGGACGCCGTTGGCCGATATCGGCACCGTAAGTACCTCCGGATTATCTACTGATATTATCTTGGGTCCAAGAATTATTCCTGCAAAATTCAAAAGATCGATTGTAACAGGATCATTGCCTGAATACATTTTCCTTTCATATGTCAAAACAAAAACAAAATATTAAAAAAAACAGGTTATTCCAAACTAGTTTTACTTAATCAGATTACACGAGCAAATCTTGGCAATAAAAGTAAAATTAAACTTTCGAATGTGAAGAATTAAAATTCACGACGCTGATCGCGCAATTAATAAACGTCCAAATTAATCCTAATTAATAACTTGCCTTTTTGCTGCATCGCCTTTGTGACTGGACAATCCTTATGGGCCAGCAAAAGAGTCTTCAATCTCGCGACTTCCTTGCGTAAAGTTTTTACTTCCATCTGCAAGACCGTGTTCGTCTCGTTCACGTTGGTCACCGTTCTCTGGAGCTCTTGGATCCACTCCTTCCTTTTGGCCCGTGCACGCATAGAACTGGCACGATTGCGCTCAAGAATGTCTTTTTTCTTAAGCTGATCGATCGTTTTCTTGACGCCCTCCTTCTTCACGGCGGCAACCGCGTCCGTTTTCGCGCATCCGTCGGTCATCTTTTGATTCTGCGCGATCACGCTCTTGGACAGGGATTGCTTCAGCTTCTGTAACGGGATATCTAAGAGACTTATCTTGAAACGCGAATCGTCGGCGCAATTAGACGTTACCATTTTCGCTAATGATAATCTTGAGATCACAGTCTTCTTGGGCTCCAGTTTCATTGCGCACCGCAGGGCCGGTTCGGTTCTGATAACAACGGTTTGCTGCTCGGTACTAACATTCGATACGTTAGAAGACTCCGATACCGGTGTCGCGCACAATTGCATTAATTTACCGTCCGCGGTTTTCAGTAACAATTGCACTTCCTCGCCGTTAATAGACCTTTGAAAAAAAAATTTTAATCTGTTAATACAATGTGTAGAATGTTTAATATCTCATCGTAATAGCCTGAAATATTTTTAAATTAAGAAGGTACGTATTCTTACACGATTATTACGAACACGAATTATCTTACACGAAACATCTAACAACAAAAAAGCTTGATTATTATCTAAGAGTACCTAAATTTTAAAAAAATTGATCAATTGTAAATTGCATATGTTCATAGAAATATTGAGTAATAACAAACAAAATACATTGAATTAAAAATAAGAAAAGTTAAAGCTTATTACGATGAAATACAAGGTGTAATTTTGTAACAGTGAAAGAAACATTCTTACAAGTGAGACGTAGGTTGTGTCGGTGAAAGTTTAGGCGCTATAGGTATATTTGCATTTGAAGCAATAATATCCGTCGGGAGAGTATCAACCTTCACAGACGTGACAGCCGAATCTTTCATCAGTTCCTGTGTCTCGTTTGTACTTAATTTAATACTGTTGCATTCAGTCTTTCTAACGCTTTCCTCCTCTTTCTCGGCAAGAGACACGCTCGAAGAACAGACTTCGACGTTGTCTTCGGAAAGAATTTGACTATTTGCGGGCAATACGTCCGATATATAAGGAAAAATATGAGGCGTATGCAGCGTATCGTCCGTAATTCCAGCCTGCAAAAAGTAAATTTATGTGAATAATACCTTTTTATATAAACGAAGATTATCTTTACAAATTTTATAAATTATTTGCGACAAATATATATGTGTATGATCTTCTTCACTTGCCTCTGATACTATAAGCGTGCCAGTATTTCCAGCCTCGACAGCCCTTCGAAACGTCTCTTCGAAAGGATTGACAACATTTTGCAGATCTTGAAATAAACCAACTTCCTCGCAATTTTTTAAGAACCTCGTTGGCGTTGGAGTTTGATCTGCTGCATAACAATTAATCTTTTCAGCACATCTCTATTCTAGATACATGACGTACACAAATCAAATTGTTCAAGTGATAATCTTACCAACGAATCCGGCACTCTTGGAGTTATTGTTAAGATTTAACATCATGTCGTGTTTCTTTTTGTGCACTGTTAATTGATCCTCATTTGCAAAGCTCTGTAAATGAAAAATAATCCTGTAGCTTCTTACATTACTGCAGTTCTTTAAGGTTAACTCGTAACTCGAGATAAGTGACATTTTTTTTTTCAATATAGAAGAGACAGTAGTTGTCATACCATATTGCATCCTGATGTGGAGCAAGCAAAGAGTTTCGCTGAGTCGGTCATTGTGAATGTGTATTCTGAGGAACGCCGATTCCAGGTTTCTTTCAAGACGATGGAACATACAGAAGTATACACAATATCAGCGGGGTAAACGTGATTAATAATTCCGGTTTACGGATGCCTCTGTCACCACGGAGAGTACGGCCACATTCTTCCTAACAAACAAATCGAATTCCTCAATCTCGAAATAACGAACGAAATAATTTTTACAAATACATCGGGTTTAATCAATCGTAGCATTTACTTCTACTTCGCTCGCAGTCGGTTGTAGCCATGTTGGCACTTGGCATACTACTCTACTACCTCCACACACTTCCACATTGGGTGTATTGACAGTATGCGTGCTGACATCTCGTATAAAATAAAAGAGAATCTGGAGAAGACTGTAGTCGGTATTACTTTGTCAAAGTAGTACAACATAAAAAAATGTTCAAAATTTCTCTACTTTTATTTTTTACGTTTTGTACCTATGTTATTTTTTAAAACATATTTAAGATCTGCATCTTATATACCTACTAATAAGTTTTCAAGATGTACTTACCTCTTATAATATATGCCGAGAAAATTTTACTAAGAAATATGATTATTTAATAAATTGTAATAAAATTACAAACAAAATAGACTAATAAGAACGCGCCGCGGTATTTCGCCCCGCAAATTGTTAATACATATAACATATCAAACATTAAAATCGTCGGACATTTCGAGCTACATTTGTTAGAGCCGTCCTCAGCGGAAATAAAAATATTACTCCCGCGTTCTCGAGTGAAGCTTGAGTCGTTAATCGGTTGACCATTTTAAATCTTTCACCGTACAACTGAATAATCAGGTAGAGAGCTTATCAGATTAGTTCGGTTCCTCATAATAAATTTGATTTGCATTGTTAAATCACAGATTATCAATTTGCCTTGTTGTTTCGTTGTCTATACTTAATCATCCAACCTCGATGAAATATCAATATGGTCCTATTATTATTATTTTTTTAAATAATAATGACATGATATCAAACAAGTGTTAAATAATAAAAATACGATACTTAAAAAAAATATATATATTTATATATACATATACATACACATGTGGGTCACAAAACTCAAGAATTGCTTTTAAATATTTACAAAAAATTAATACAAAATTTTTATTTAATTAATATAAATTTTATCTCGACAAAGTCATTCGCTGGCCACTCACATTAGTCGTTCTTAGCCGCGGCCGTGCGCGGAATGTAAATATGATAAAAGATCGTGAGACGTAATTGCGCAAATGACACAGAAATAGCATAGTAATGACACAGAGTGGTATAGAGTGTGCCTTGGCAATGACTTTAAATTTATGCATGACTTTTCGTTATTCATTATATCACGTTGTTATACAGCAAATTACGATGCTTCATTCGAAAAAAAAAAAAAAAGATCAAAATATAAATGTATCTCCTGTTGAATGTATTATGTCGATGTAAAAACTTGAAAAGCTTTTTGATTGATATATTTATAATATTGACATAAATTATTAAATAATTGTATATCATAAATTTTTATTATATAATTTAATGTGGAAGTTCAAATTAATAAAATATATATCAAAAATTAATGAACATCTAATTTTTATTTCTCCAATATATTTATATTTGATAAATTACTGAAATAGACATAAGAAGAAATGCATAGTTATATATAACTTACAATTATAGATAAAGATACGATTGCTGGAGTACTCTAGATATACTAAATAAAGAAATTTTCCTTCTCATCCGTTCATTTGTCATTTTCGCATTATAATTACTCGCCGTGTAAATGAGTAGTTTCAGAAAACTACTCATTTACACTGCGTGCCGACCGAAAGTCTAAGTAATTTCCTCGACGACATTTCGAAGTGAAATCTCGCACGGAAAAAAACAGATTGTCCCGTGTGATTGTAGCTCTTCGTGAAAGTAAGTTTCGGGATTACTAAGTTTACGGTAAATAAACGGACAGTGAATTAAACAACAGCGGTGTGGTTTACATATATTACCATAATTACGTCTGAGAGCTTCATGTCAGATGCGCGTAAGAATTGGTAATTAAAATTACAATCGTACATAGTTCATGGGATATACAATAATTTTTTAAATACAAGAAAAACAGAATATATAAAAAAAATATATAAAAAGAATATATAAAAGAAAATATTAAATCTCAAGTGTTGACAATTTAGAAATGAAACAGTTAAACAGAAGAAATTAAAAAACTTAAAGAAGAACCTTCAATTATAAATTAAATATATATTTTAAACAAAATAATTTAAAATTAGAAAGAAATTGATTATAGAGAAAATGTAAAAACTTGTTAACATGCTAAATAAAAAAGAATGAGAAAAGAACATCTGGTTAGAAAGTGATGAGTTCCGTCGAACGCTTTTTATCCGAAAGGAACGGATGTAAAAGACTCTCATTACACTTCGTCGTAATTTCACTGGCTAGATAGAAAAGGAACGCTTTGGGCGCCTTGGGCCCATCTGGAGAGAGTGAGAACAGGCCAAAGAGAGTGGTGTCGGATGCTGATGTTTCTGTTCCTCATCAGTAGTTAACCGCGTGTCGCGGTGCTCTATTCATTGATCCGTCGATGTAAACGTGACCACAAACCGTGATATATGAGTTCCATCGCGCGAATCACTCGGACAATCAAATCTCGTATTAACGTTACAATTACCTCGCATTAACAGCACGTTCGTGAGGTAAATTTATTCCAAAAGTGTACGTTTCCGCAAAGATCGGATTTTCAAGTGCAAGTGTATAATTGTATAATAACGATAATATCATACTTAAAAAAAGGTAGGAATAAAAGATAAGTTAAAAAGGATACCGAAGTACAGTTAAAAATTTTATTTTAAATCAAATATCACGAAAAGATAAAACTTCTTTGTATTGGCACTTAATTTCATCTTCAATTTCTTTTTAGATCAAAAGTGTGTAATGTATATATATGTATATATTGTTTCTTTGTTATCTTTTCTAATAATTGTAGTATATGAATAACGCCATTAATAATCAGTTTAACTATGACAAACGATAAATGATAATTGATTGAATCAAAGAAAAAAAAGAACCAATTCTTTCGCGTCTCTTCTGCGAATGTCATATCGCGGTCCGGCGAACGAGATCTCAGACTCGCCTTCGACCTTGATCTTGATAGAAATCCAGGTGAGTCTGTCGGATCGGATCGCTGCACGTGCTTTCGATTCTTTAGAACGTGACGATCGATTCGCTGCCGCGACAGAAAAAAACCGACCCAACAATGTACTTGCTCGCTCGTTTGTAAAAGCGTCCTCATCTCTAATTCCTCGACATTAATTAAGGCCCTCCGCGAACATGTGCCTCGCAGTAATTTTTCGCTTTTTAGAAGAGACGTCAACCGAGACTTTCAGTCTCGCGCTCGAATGACTTAGAAAAATATATATCTTCTGAATCTTATTTGTCTAAATAATATATCCAATTATTCATTATTTATATATACATATATATGTTTATGTATCGCACTCTTGCTTTAAAAATAACACAACTCAAAACAATTAATTTTCTCAAGTTTTTTATAATTAATTTATCTAACTCATTCACGGTAATAACTTGAAAATTACGGTTTTTGTAAAATTATTTCCTTTTTGAAGCAAGAATGCGATAAAATATATATTATATATATTGTATTTTCAAATAATATATTCCTAAAATTAAAAAAAATTATTTTAAAATATTTTAAACAACAGCAGACTAATTGTGCGAGAGTATAAATTAACAGGATAAATTTAATTAGGCGAATGTGTGCCAGACGTGCGCGTGATGCCACTTGTTTATTTTTTACTGGACTTGAAGAAGAAGCGCGAAGAAAGTCGAGCAATCAAAAACAATAGTGCTCGTGTACGGGCTTTAACTCGTAACTTACGGCACGATGGTTGAAAGTGATATTTCACTCTTTCCTTCGTCTTCAATTCGCCGCGTACCATCTAAACGAAACAGTTCGAAGGGTTCTGGAGCAAGACATTCATTTCGTGAAGTAGAGCTGTTTCACTAGCATAACTTAGTTCCGCGATATTTCCACATAAAAAGTAGCTTTTTTTGCGAGTTCGAAAATTTCTTATTATCACGAATTTCACGCTGAAAAGAAAATTAAAACAGTTAAGTGTTAATAGACTAATTTTTAATAAAATAAACGTGTCTATCCTGTCTATCACTTGTTTATAGATTTTGGTCGAGCTTTTTGTATCAAGTGATAGTATTTCGTCATTCGCAAGGGATTGACAGACACCTGTTCAAAGTGATATGCTTTTAAACGCGATCTAGCGCTAGGAGGACCCCGGCACGTTCTCCGCCCTGCATGCCCCACGATGATTCCCCACAATCGCCGTCGTTGTCAAAGTCGAAAGTTACCGGCTAACTTTCACTAATAACCAAAAGGCAAAGGGAAAGGCGGAGGGGAGGAGTACGTCGCCGCGCGGACACGGTTCCGCATGTAGACCGGCCGAACGTTACGAAGCACTAAAAGGCGTGCCACTTGTCTCGGTGGCCTGGTTTCGTGTCCCACTTTTGTACCGGACTGTACGTGAACGTCTTTGGACACGCTAACGTGAACTCGCTCACGGTGTGCCGTCGAGGGAACCGATCGAGGATGTGGACAAAGACCCGAAGATCGACGGGGAAACCGGAGCGTGTCCGCGCGACTCGCGATCAACCCTTTGACGCGGCGCGCAATAAAAACGCGCGTCATAATAATGCTCGCATGATTTGCATTATAATTAATTTAATTTTAAATTTAATAAATTATCTATTATATTATATAATTAATAATAATTAATTTAATTACTGGTTTAATCAGCTGTTTGTACGGGATGCGACATTTTAAAATCTACTAAAACCAAAAGCGAGATTTGTATATAATCGATTTCGATTAAATTCGATAAGAAATTGGAAAGTTTGAAAAATTTTACGCTAAAAGACAATAGGAATTCCGACATTGTGTTTCGTGTTAAGCTTTTCACATAAAAAAAAACGGCCATCAGATTCTCAGTCGAGATAACATTGTGATAAATAAAGATGAGAATCGCGCGGACGTGCCCCATAAACGTGGGATTTTGTCTCATAAACTTAAAAATGTAAAATGTCTATTACATTCTAAATAAATAAACTTTTAGTAAACTTTTATAAACTAAATAACGAAATGAGATACGGCAAAGCGATGTAACATGATATGCTTGAGAAACCGCAAAAATATTTACGAACAAATTCGCCTCTGAAATACAACCGTGTTTTACAAGATGACTCTTTCACAGTTCGAGCAATTAACACTTTCCAGTGAGGTTCATATTATCGTCCCCTTTGAACTCTTCGATGCAGCCGTTCGATTAAACGAAGCGTCCGCGAATGTAAAAAAAAAATTTACCACGTTCGATTGCGACGAACGATTCATGCCGCGTAGAAAAGCTTGCGAGATAAAAGGCATGCTTTTTTCATCCGGGAATTTTTTTGGGCTGTCATAGAACTACCGGTGAGAGACGGGTTCCAAGGTGAAATCATGAGGAACGCGGCAAAATGATATGGCGCTAGATTAAGAACGATTCATGATGACGTGAACATGTTTGGCGAACGACAGTGAATCGCACGATCATCGCTGACGGCCGAAGAGAGAAATGACTGCTCTCAAAACCGCAGCACTTATCTCGCTACTTCTGATCGCCGATACCTGCTGTCTCGCTAATCACAGAAGGAACAATCGATTTCTGAGAAATTTCGGTAAATAGCTAAACATTTTCTTTGTTATCGGCAAAAGTAATGTTTTACCAAGAGAGATTTGTTGATCGTATTTTTTTTTTAGGTCAACCAGAGAAAGAAGAAAATATCGAAAATGCGATCGACTCGCACGGGCAGATGAGATTCTTCGATGAACTTGGATGTAAGTACGAATATTATTAAGTAATCATTATTATTATGCTTATGTTATAATATATTAGATAATATTATTGTTTTAGATACTTGCTCTAAATACTTGCTCATGCATTACACTATTAAAAATAAATTTATGGTATTAAAATAAATTTTAATGATAATTGCTTTAAAAGAAAAAAATTCATACTTATATCAGAATAAATTAATTTCTCTTAATTTTGTTGAAAGAATAGAGATTCACGTCTATACTTTTGTATTAATTAATAACATAATTTAAATAGTATAAATAACATAATTTATAATAATATTCAAGTATATTTCATCGTTATAACATTTCTACGAAATCAAAAAACGATGAATAATGCTGACATTGATATCTATTATCCCTTTAAAACAATTTCAGTTAACAGTTAAATGAATAGCATGCGATAAGGATGACTCAGCTGTACGAGTACACTTGCACGCAATAATGAGAGCTTGATGAAATGATAGATATCGGAAAGATTTTAAGATGACAAACCGGTTGACGTTCACCGGATGCTCGTATTTACACAACCAAAGCAACACAGTCTATATCTTTATCTATTCTAGGCAATCCGACATTTTTTTATTATCACTACTTGTAATAATTACAATCAAATTAGTTTAAAAAATAAAAAAATTTATCACGTTATTCTTTTTTGACGTATAGACATGATGAACTTAACGAATTATGTTAAATTACCCTTAGAAAAATTTAATACTGTAAATATTTGATTAATAATTAATTACTTATCTTGAATATTAAAAGCACTAATAACAATGCTTTTAATCTCAAAAGTAATTAATCACTAACCAATTTAATACTTACAATACATTAAATTCAATCTAATCTGAAATATTTATTTTTAATTAAATATTTATTGCAAGGAGATATTCGAGGAATTAAAAAAGTTATAAAAAGAAGGATTCCGTTTGAATATTTTATTTGATATAACTGAACGAGAAGATAATGCGATTATAATAATTTTCCGTAAATGTGAGCAAAGCACGAAAGATTCACAGTTGAGTTAATAAAAGAGACGAAATCCGAATCGTACTTGAAAGGCCACTTACCGACGCTTACTTTCTACAAGAATATTTATAATGAAGCGCACGGAAGCTCCGTTTTCACTGCGACCTCAGCGCATCTCTCCTCTATCGTTACGAACATTTTGCCGATGATATCTTTCCTTTTATTGAATTTGATACCCGGTTCTTTCCCGCGACTAAATTACTAAATTGAACACAGAGCAAAGCTTCTAAATTTTGATTGGATTTAATTCGATCTCCAATAAAAAATTTTGCAGCGCGATCTCTTTTTTTTTTAAATTTTTATTTAAAATAAAAATTCACATTTATAAGAAGATATTAATCTAAGATATTGCTATTTATTTTTTTAAATAATTAACTTAATAGGCTGCTCCGTAAATACTTCGAGTATATCTGTCAACGTAAAAATGCTCTCAGTGAAGCCATGCGATGAAATTGGGTCACGAAATCTCAGTCTATCGAATCTATTCGATGTAAATGGCCATTTTAGCGAATAACCGCCGATTTCTCGAAATCATGTACTGTCTTATCTTTTATTTATGATTTAAAAAAACTCAACTGTGCTACTTACGGAATTATCGCACAATTTTTAATTTTTAAATAAAAAATTTAAATAAATCGGAATATTTATTAAGATTTAATAAACGGTAAATTTTATTTAATATTTTATCATTTTTTCAATATGAGATTATCATTGTGATAAAGCCATTAAATCTTAATGAAGAAATAAAATCAACAAAATAACAGTAAGGAAAAAAAACTTCAATAGAATATAAAAATAAAATTTATAATCTTTTGAAATGTAGTTCTCCGCATTTGTGACAGCAATAAAAAAAATATGTCTTAACAATAGTAGCAGTAGAATGAGAAAACAAAGTAGCTTAAATGATTCAACAAGATTCGTGATAAAAAATAACTATCCCGGTTTTCCGTTTTCGCGAAGCGACTGGCCTGAATCCTGGCAAAGTTTTCCAGAGCTATTCAGAGTACGACAATTTCGCGGCGACATAATAACTCAGCGAAGAAAGAAATGGAAAATAAGACACAACACACCGGTGATGAGTTCTGGGCGACGGTGAAGGTGGGGAACCAATGTGAGACCAAGGGACGATACCCGCCGCCGCGTTGCGGGAAAGCTGACGCCGGTGAAAGCAGTGGACGCCTTCTTAGATCGAGACTCGTGGGACATCGGTTTGAGCCAGTCCACGTGCAGAAGGCGTGTATTGTCACGGCTTCTCACCGTCACTCCGGTGAAGTGTCATAAGGCGCCTTTTAACCTTTGACACCGACGCTCGATCGTACATACGCGCCAGCGATCTCCAAGAGGAGGCTGCGTTCGCTGTCATCTTCTGTAGAAAAAGTTTCCACGATAAATCGAAGCTATCGCAAGAGAAACCAGTGATATCAAAATGGCGGTGCTTACTTGGGATCTCAAAATTGTTCGAAACACCATGCCGCTCGCGGAAGCCGTCGACGAAGTGAGAGATTTGTGAGAGAAATTCGGCCATGAATAACATTTACTATCTTCAAGAATAAGGATTTATAATCCGGGATTAATCGGTAATCAAATCTGAACAAGTGCTTTCGAAATTTGAGATTTTTTTTCCAGAGAAGTTGAAAGTTTATTACCTACTCATATGAAAAAGAAGAACAAAAAGCTAGCGTTTCAGAAGAAATTATCCGTGTGCCCATTAATTCCTCAAACGTTTTTGCAAGTGAAATTGCAACTAGTCGAATCTCATAAGAGAAACTTGACTTACAGCTTCGAACTAAGTCAAGTTTCTCTTCGAATAATTTCGGAGAAACTTGATTTAGTCTTCAGTTGTGCGATCTCTACCGTTCTTCATCGATCGTTTAATGGAGAAGGACCATTCGTGAATTTATTCCCAAACCGTAGTGCGTCCCTTTTAACTTTCAAGTGTGCAGTGAGATCGTGACGATGCGCAAGGTATCCTCGAAGTGACGAAGCGGAAGTCAAAGTCGATCATGAAGATAGTGCTCGGGGTGCTTCTCATCACCGTGGCGAGCGCTTTCAATCACCATGACACCTATTCGTGGAAACGCAGGGACGATTGCAAGATCACGGCCGCGAGCCGATCGATCGCACCGGTCAAAGTTAAAGAGACTCGTCCGCAGCGGGCCGACGTGCATCGATCGAGATCATCGAACTCGCGCGAGGCCAATCCTCCCCAAAATTCGCCGAGAAGATTCGCGGTGGTCGAGGATTCGGACGAGCATCACGATCTCTGGAAGCCTGAAGTCACTAGAACGAGACAGGAACTCACGCGCGAGAATCGAGCCATCGAGAGTACCCTGAAGAATGTGATAGGTAGACCGTCCAAGGTCGAACAGTATCAGTATATTTCGAATTTTCCGTACGGCGGTGACGGCGCCACCGACGCCATATTGGAGAACGCGAATCAGCCGAAGAGCTCGGTGTTCTCCAAAGACACTCAAGATATTCATTTCTTGAATCATAATACAGAAGAAGTGGATTGGAGCGGGCAGGAGGTATTCGAAAATGACCCGCAGGAAGAGGAGGAAGAAATAAATATCCAAGAAATACTAAACGAAATGAAACGAAAGAGATTAAATGGAGTGAATTTCGAGGAAACGGTAGACGGAAATCGACAGGGTAGAGGGAGAAAGCTCACCAGCCAGCAGCAAGGTGCCTTGCTGGTGGAGGCCCTCAAGAAGAAACGAAATTACACCAATGATCATAGAGGACACAGCTCCAATCTCCAGAGCGGCCTTATGGAGATGTTGGGCAGAAGTATGTAGGATTAAAAAAAAAAGAAAAATGGAATGAAAATGAAATCAAAAAGTCCTTTTAATGATTTTAATCGAATAAAATATATCAATAAAAGTGAATTTTGTAGGTCAATTTATCCAAAAATATAAGGATGTAAATTATATAAATAAAATAAATTATATAAAATAAATAATTAAAAATAAGAAGATAAATGATTCAACATTTTATATCTAATATTTTATAAAATCAGAAAAATTGGTAAAATGACCGTTGATAGTGAAATATCATTAATTTCTGCCGTTAAGTTTTTACCATTGATTTTCTATGAAAATACAACATTAATCACAAGAAAGTTATTAATGCAATTATATGTATTAAAACAACAGGATTCATTTCGATGAATCGTGACAGCTGATATTAATCTTCAGGAAGACGCGCTGAATGCTGTATGCTCGGCGCAATCGCGTGACAATAGATAAACAAAACACATCGATATCGCAACAGACTTTCACTTTAAGATTCTTCCTATGCTAAGACCATTACTGACTAGATTATTTTGTAGTCTATCCAAAACTTCCATTTAATATAACTTTAAATCGGCTATCTATTAACATTAAAATAATCTATCGATAAATGCGCGACAATCCACATATATATAGATAATCAATTTATACGTGAAATCTATTTCAGTGATACCGCAAACGTGCAAGTACAAGGGTGCGAAGTTCGAGTGCGGCCTTAGCTTTAGCTGCGTTCTAGGCGGCGGTCGGCCTGTCGACCTGTGTTCCGGAGGTTTAATATGGAGCTGCTGCGTAGACGACGATGACGTACCCGATAAAGTACCACGACCGACCGTGGGTTTGCTGCAGAATGCCAGTAAGTTCTCTCTCGCTAGAGTAAAAATTCCGAGCTGTATATCGAAAAGGCATATATGTGTAATACAATAAATTTGTGTACTTTAATTAGAGAGTAGGTAAACTTTAATTGAATAGTCGGCGAATTTCTTAATCCGCCTGCATTTAGGGTTGGTAGAGACAATGAAAACGCTGTATGTTTTTCTCACGGAAGAGTTTTTAATTCAACGCTATGTCTCTCTTTCTCTCTTTCTCTCTTTCTCAATTAACTCGCGAGGTCCTTTTTATCTGCTGTCATGCCGCCGTAAATTTACGACATCCTGAAAGAAGGTCCGTGTCCTCGAATGTCGCTAAACCGAGTTTCTGAACCGAGACTTCGAGGTTGTGCCGCGCTTTTAGCGCGACTTGCCCGAGAATAACTTCCGTAAACGCTTGTATTTAAATTTTACGGTCAAATTGTCTTGATTATGATTCGCAACGATTACAATAAAATAACACTCGATGCACGCTCCGTGCGTGAAGTAGAGAGATTCGGATCGCGTTTAGCGAAGAAGCGCAAAGAGAATATAGATGGTACTGTAATTAACGGTGTAAGAGATGTAACGTTATTCTGCCAGACCAACGTTAGGGATTTAAATGAGATTAAATCGCGAGAAGGTTGAGACATAAACGCTTGGTTTATCGCGAACTGAAAGGAGACACCGGCTGGAAGTAACCTGATTTCTATCCGGCGACATCCGAAATTACACAACCAACAGCGTCCAGCTAGTGTCGCGCGCGCACCGACGACACTGTGCGGCAGTGTATACGGCCAGCACTTTCAAATACAGTTATTCACACCTAGTTTACGCGACGGCATCGCGTTGCACGCCCGTAGAACTTTACGCGAGCATGCTTTCCCAAGCCGCAAGTCGCTCACCGTAACCGCGTGACCATCAATACAATGGCACGAATAGAAACAGCCGAGGAAATAATGTCACCGACAGAACGAGACAATTACAAATTGTATCACATTTTCTTATGGTACACGGAAAAAAAGGAAAAATATTAACAACATTTTTTCCGTGTATTATTTTTATTCTATTAACTTCTTATATTTCTGATTATATATTTACGTATATGTATTTTTGCAGTACATGATTTTGTCTGCATACCGATCATGTAACTTCTTCCTTAAGACGGAAACGCGAAAAGTGAACAATTTCTCCATTAACGTCAATGATAAAAATTTTCACTTTTCACATTTCCGCTTTAGGGAAAAAGTTATATAATCGGGTACCCCGATTAAAAGTGTTTCCGGGTTGCAACGAACAAATAGAGAAAGCGATAAAAGTGGAAGAATTAGTAGCACATATTAACTATAATAATCTTCTATATTGATTTCTCGAATAGATTCATTCTAAACCAATATAGTCTTCAATCCTCTGACTGTGATTAAAATATCAGCCGATACGTATATAATTAGTATAACTGCCACTATCGGGCTTAAATTCGGCCGCAGAATCGCGACGCGAGTGATTCCGAATAGCTAATAGCGACACATCGTTACGTTGCCCAGCGTTTTCCCTAAATCTCGGGCACCAACAGCCGTACGTGGACGACGACGTGCACATTTACAGCAGCTCGGTAAGGCCTAGCAGGCCCTCGCACAGCCACGAGACCCATCGGCCCACGTACGTGGGTGGCGTCGGTACTCCGACCAGCCTCTACGATCCGCCTTACGCGATCTGGAACAACGATCGGCCGAATGATCTCGCGGTCGGCCACGACCGACCGACGTACACCACTCGTCCGTATCACACAGTTCAGGAGTATCCGCAGGACGAGTACGACGGCGGCTATCCGCCTGCCGCCGCTTCCGGCGGCTATCCGCCCGCCGCCGCTTCCGGCGGCCCGATCGAGGACTCGTCCAACGCCATGGACTACTCCAGATACCGTGGTAATCGCATGAGAATGCACGCAGATTATTGCACCGAGTATCGCACGTGATGTGTGTCGAGCGCACGAGAGTCGGAGGACTCGCTGAAAAACCCTCGGTGAGTTCAGATTCCGAGGACTATGCAGGCACGCGAGAATCCCGCCGTGTCTCTGTAGCACGGGAAATTGAGCTCACCTCGAAATTATTTTCTTTACAGTTAAAGCTTATATACATACATACATATATGTATATATATATATGTATATATATCGCTTCAACATGTCTGGTTGAGATTTCTGCTTCTTATTTTTATTGCTATCAATACTATTTGCAACAGATTGGGATCTTGCAAATCTCTCTCTTAAACGACGCACTTGATTATTGATTTGGATACGCTCCGATGCTGACTATTGCCATCGATCGAACAGACATCGTCTTGATCTTACCATAATCTAATCGTACTGGATTATAAGAGACAAGTTTGTGTGCGTTGATATTGCGTGATCTGTAAGCAGCAAATGCCAATAGATAATTATTAAACTTCGTACCAGATTTAATTCATTGATGTCGAGAAGAAAACTGCGCTGACTTTAAAGAATACATAAAATTATAGTTTCGACGAAAATCAATACGAAATATACGAGACGAACTGTGACGAATTTCACGTAAAATGAATGACGAGTACAAAATACTACAATATACCAGTTAATAATAATCAAATGTATAGTGGATCCAAAATGACGAAGACAGTATTTAAACATGTACATAATGTTTCGCATGGAAACCGCACAAAAATGAACGCTTTCGTCACATCGCACATTTTCCTGCACAAAATGTCGCCGGGAGACAATCGAGAAATTGAATTGGGAGAAAAAATGAAAAAACGTTGAAAAACATAAAAAATGACTGGAGACAAAGAACGAGAGATAAAACGGAAAGAGCGAAAAACAAGGAGGATAATAGAAGACTTGGACGGCTTTATGAAGCAAATTTATGGAACAAAGAAGAACAAAAATAATTATATTCTTAATAGTCGTCTCAGATTTTAAGCGAAATACGAGAAGAATATAAAATATAATAGAGAATATTTTTTTAAAATATTGATCATTGACAAAATTGATCAACCTCAATTTTTAATAGAAAAACACTATTTTTAAATTACAACTTCGTATTATATATTATTATTAAATTGCATGTTAAATTCAACATGTGTAAAATTGAAAAGCTAAAATATTAAAATTGATCAACCTTAATTTTTAATTAATTATTAAATACAATTTTTAACTTACAACTTCATATTATATATTATTATGTTATTGAATTGCATGTTAAATTCAAAATATGTAAAATTAAAAAGTCAATTGCGGCTTATTACACGTATATAATTATGTAATGGATATCTCATATTCTTATCTTCTCCCTATCTTAGGCAAAATCGCTAGGAAAGTTTCGCAACGATTAATTCTACATAATGTATCTCTATAATCCGCGGTAATAAATAGATTTCCTAAAGTCGCGCGTATACTTTCTACACAGTGCTACGTCTATTTTCTGCTTTCTGTCTCTCGCCAAGGTGCGAACGATCTTAAGCAAACACCTAGGTATCAGTTTAATTGCGATAATTGTAGAAAGTATCAGTTAATAAATTTTCAGCGTGAGCTTATCTTCTAAATCGCATTTTCTCCTCTATGACACGCACAAACGTTATCTCTTCGATCATGTGTTCCCTAAATCACTTTCGCATCATCTCACTCTATCGCGTGTTTATCATCAACACGGAACATCGGATGTTCTCACTTGACCGCGTATTCAGAGCTCGCAATGTAGCTAACACACAGATCATACTTTCAGGCTGTGGCGAGCTCTACACGAGAAGCAACAGGATCGTAGGTGGACACTCGTCCAGTTTCGGCAGCCACCCGTGGCAGGTGAGGTCCTTCCCTCGCACGATTTTCTTCTCCTCGTCTCCTCCCCTCGTTTGTGGCTCTCGCGGAGCGACACACTCTTCCTTTCCTCTGCATTATTCATCGGGCACGAGCCATCAATTTGCTCGGTTCGCCTAGCGCGGAGAGCGCGAGGAGGAGAGAAAAAATAATCTATTAAATCTTCTCTAAAGGCCGCGAGCCGTGACGCGGGCTCGAATACATATTTCATGTAACGCGCTTGTAAATAGGCCTCTAAACGTTCTCTTTGTTGCAGGCCGCCATTATCAAGTCGGGATTCTTACAGGCCAAGAAGCTGTCTTGCGGCGGCGCCTTGCTGAATAACCGATGGGTGGTTACCGCGGCGCACTGTGTCGCGACGTTAGTATTGATGACTATATATTATTGTCAAGAGTTTAATATAATAAGAATATTGATATATATATATATATATATATATATGTATGTATATATATGCATATATCTTTTTTGTATATGTCAGGACACCAAATAGCAATTTGAAAGTGCGACTTGGGGAATGGGACGTTCGAGACCAGTCGGAACGACTCCTCCATGAAGAATATAATATCGAGAGAAAAGAGGTTCTTCCTTTAAATATTAATATCTAAAGCTTTATTGATTTAACCGTATATGTTCAAGAACTCCGCGCGTCGCATTGCGACGTATATAATATTAAAGAAGAAATTGCAAAATACACACACGCGCGCACGCGCGCGCGCGCGCACACGTACACACAGCGCACGCACGTACATATACACGTTTATTGTACTTTATGTAGTGAAGCTATAGCATGATAGCTTAATAATAATTACGCTAAAAGTAACAACATAATAACAGATACATCCGCAATACTCTCCTACCGACTTTCGAAATGATGTGGCTTTGGTGAAGCTGTCCCGGATGGTAGCTTTCAAGCAGCACATCGTCCCGGTTTGCCTGCCGGCGAGGAATTTGAAGCTCTCCGGCCGAACCGCAACCGTCGCTGGTTGGGGACGAACCAGACATGGTCAAACTTCGTCGCCAACCGTTCTTCAAGAAGTCGACGTCGAGGTACACTCTCAGCCAACGTATTTATCTTTGATAAAACATCTCTCTTTTCGGGTGTGCACGATAAAAATAATGTATCGTACAAATTTAAAATTTTCATATTTTTTGATACTTTATGTTAATTTATTTGTACAATTAATCATTTTTAATGTAAATCGTGAAAAGAATTTGTCAAACAAACATATAAGTAAATTCATATATTATCCAATTATTGCTGTGCACGTAATGTTTGTAATAACATTTAATTACACGATAAATAAGAGATAAATAATAATTTTTAAATATAATATTATATGTGTTATATACTTCTATTTAGGTAATACCAAACGACAAATGTCAGAAGTGGTTCAGAGCAGCCGGTAGGAGAGAAACCATTCACGATGTATTTCTCTGCGCAGGATATAGACAAGGTGGACGAGATTCTTGTCAGGTAATCAATCAAAATAAAATATTCCAAGAAATATTAATTTAACTAAACATATGAAATTAGAAGACTGCATTTATAAATTAATTTATTGTAATAGGGTGATTCGGGCGGACCGCTCACAATGTCGGTGGAAGGCAGACACGTTCTGATCGGTTTGGTTTCCTGGGGCATCGGTTGCGGTCGCGAACACCTACCCGGTGTGTATACCAATATCCAGAAATTCGTGCCCTGGATCGATAAGGTTATGAGCTAAGTGGAGGAACCTCAGTCCTTCGAAGGACGAACTGCTTTATCCGAGAAAAGGAAGCACGAGTAGAAGGAGGTGGAAGAAGATAAGGACGTGAAGTTACCAAAGTCTTATCTCATTTTTTAAGGACTTTTACAATCGTGCTCGATTATAAAGAATAGGCACTCTTTCGAAAGTGCCAAAAAGCGTAATGCTTTTCAAAGTTGTTGTCCTATGAAGATCGTTAAGTATAATACTCGAAAGTGACAATAAAAAGTTAATCAAAGATTACAGTCGATGTATCTCAAGGACTAATTAGCTACGCTAGAATGCAGTTCTTGAGATGCTAATTAATAATAATAAGTAAAGATATTTAGTATAAAGATCATTTAAGTTTCTTGCGAGCGTTGTTGTTACTCGTATTATATTAAATAATTTATTGTCATACGTGTATATTAAAACGAAAAGATTGATTCCAAATTTAGAAGCATTTGTCTTTGTATTAATACGACAAATGTTACTGACATAAATTCTTTTTATAATATTAATCTATGTTAGGTAGGAAATTTTAAGAATTCAAGAAATAAATATTTTTAAAGTGTTAAAATTATTTCGACTTACAATAACATAAAATTGATCTCAAATCTGTATTAAAATTCTGTCTATACAAAAAATTATATTTAGACGGGCACGCGAACTTTTATATAAAATGTATATAAAGAAATTTAAAAATAGGAAGAAAGATACGTGGGAAATTTCGATTACAATAAATTCCTTGATATTAATACCTTCGTTCAATCTTATCGATTTCTTGAGTGTAAAACAAACAAGTTTTTCCTTTATTGTGACAAACATACAGCGCTTTGTTAACATTTGTTAACACACGTTATTAGCTTATGATAAACTGTTCGATATATTTTTCAATACTTTTTTATTTCAAAGGTTATCTGTAGAAGAAATCTATTTTTACAACAAATATAACATAGTTTTCTTCAATTTCTCGTGATGAATACGTGTATGTAGGAAATGTCCTTCCTTCAATGTCGATAAATTACCTTCTGTTATCGACCATCTGCACAAATGGATACCACCTATCCATTCACCCATAAGTACCCTACGCAGGATAACTCAAAAGCTTCAGCGTGCGCTTCGGATAATATAAAGGAATATTACGCTAGGATATTATAAAAAAATATAAAAGAGAGAAAATCCATAATTTTATGTCAAGTTTCATTTGCAACATTTAATTAATTCCGTTTCATCATGAATTATCGTTACAGTGTATCTAAAACTCTTTTGTGTGGAATACGCTTCTTCCATTATTTAATTATATTTCAGAAATTCTACTAAAACAAAAACATTCAACCATTAATTAAAAGATAAAAAAGATCAAGTACAGGAGAAGTTGGCATTCTCAAGAAAATGAGGTTAATCGACGGAAGAAAAAGAAGGAGGTATATTTTAATCCTTTCACTTTAGGGCCCAAGCTGTGTATCTGTATCCGCTCCTGTCCTCGGCAGGAGCAGAAAGAGAACGGGATTGGTCACAGAGAATGCGCGAGAAGTGCACCTACCCCCCCGTGGCAGGAAGGGGGTGGCGGAAGGAGGGAGAAAGCGAGAGCAATGGTGGAGGGTAAGTTGCTAATTAGAGCCAGATTAAACGCTTGTCTGGGGAGCCATTTTCCTTGCCGTTCCTCGCCGTAGCCGAAGGAGGATGAGCGGCGCAGCGAGACGCCGGGGTGGTGAGCGGGGGCAGGAAAAATGGGGGGGACCTGCGGGGCGGCTGAGGATACGAGAAACGAGGGAGGGGTGGCGGCGAAGGGACGACGGAACGCCGACGCCGACGCCGACGCCGCCGGCGGGAGAGGCGGGCTTAATGAAAAGTGTTTGCCCCGTAAAAGTTAAGATTAATTGGCGCTCGGGGGGTGGTTACCGCGATAATCAGCCCGGGCCAGTGGTTTTCAAACCCTCTCTGGCCGGCCCTGTCGATCGTATTCTTCTTCGGGCCGCGATCGAATGCGTAGCCGCAAGCGAAAGTTTTCCTCCCGAACTGCTCGTCATGTTACACACCGTATTGCACGAAAATGTTTATACTTTTTAATACTGTCCCGTATCTCTCAGGAGGATGAAAAGTGCAGTAAAACTTGGCCGGTGTGTAAACACCTCTCTCTTGAATTCAAGCGCAATCTCGAGAGATGAAGTCTGGAAGAATCTAAGTAGTTGAAGAAAACCATTTCAAAACCAGATAGGTTTCCTTCAATTATGAAACTCGTGTTTTTC